TTTACGGTATTTTGAAAAATAAGCAGGGCTGCAACATTGTCTGGATTAATCAATTGATCATTTGAAAATAGTGAAAAACATCCTAATAATAATAATCATAGTCTTTCAAAGTCCAGTGGGATTTCTTGAAATGTATTGTTGTCACTCCTCCACCTAAAGATTGATAGCAGCAGAATTGAAGTACTTTAAAATATCTCATAGTAAGGAAAATGTAAACCTTTTAGTGACATCTCTAATGTTACCCTCTTCTCTTCCTGGTTTCAGCTGTTCAGTGACACCACCTCCCTGTACACGGAGTCTCAGGCGGTCCTGACTGAGACAACACAACACCCCAGCCCCCCAAACAGCCTGTGGACCACCACTGATGACCCCGAGCACAACGACTCTGAACCTCAGCCAGAACTGTTCTGTAGTGACGGCAACAGCAGCTTCCTGTTCGGAGCCGATAGCAGCTTCTGTGAACCAAACACAGACTCCATGCAGGAGGGCCACACAGACTTTAGACTTGAAGTGAGTACTTCCTTTAGCAGCCCAGAGGCCCTCCACCCCCCCCAGAGGAGCTGGACCAGCAGTGGTCAGTGGAGAGAGGAGAACAGGGAAGAGGGGAAGTTCTCCGGCTGGAGAAGCAGAACTGGAGCCGTGGGGAGAGTTGTTGGAAGAGTAAACAGTGAGTGGACACCAAAGGTTCCAACAATCCTCAACACCCATACTCCAGGACGCAAAAGTCCTTTTGAGCTGGACTCCACCCTCAGCTTCAGCCCCAACGCCATGCAGCAGCCAGCCCACAGTCACATGCCCAGGCACTCGCCGGTCTACAGTGTCCATCACCCTGACAACCCCCACGTCACCTACGGTCTGAGCCCCCCTGCAGAGGTCACGCTGTGGGGTCAAGGCCAAAGTAGCAACGACTTTATCACCAACAGCAGAGACACCGCGATGATTCCCACTAACTACGGCTCCAAATGCTGGATCGGACAAGAGAGGAAGAGGAGGGGCGAGGCTGCAGGGTTAATTGAAACAGGTGAGTGTTAATTGTTATAGTTTAGGTGTGTCATTAAAGCAAATTGGGGATGATGGAAACAGATGAATAAATCACAACGTCGACAAAGCATGTGACTTAAAGGACCACTGATGCTTCTTCTCCAGCTCAGAGACTAAAATGGACTCCTTGAATAAATAGATTGCCATATTGACAAGTTTCATCCAAACATTGTAGAGAAAGAGAGGGCAAAAACAGGATGACATAATGAAAAAGCACACTAGGAACACTGGAGATTTTTTGTGTTTATCTTGATAAATCATTTGGTTTTCTTTGCATAATCGGTTTATACACAGATTGATATATTTCCTTTTTCTTTTGCAGTGATGACACCGCTGAAGAGGGGGAGGTTAAGCTATGAGAAGGTGCCCGGCAGAAGTGATGGACAGACGAGGCTTAAATTATTCTAAATTATTTGAATGCCTTTTTCCTGTGGCCTGTTTGTAAAGAGATCGTTTTGTCGGATTTAAGTTATTAATTACATCATTCAAGTGTTTGTTCAGGTAGAATTACGTTTGACTTGGTCTGTTTGTTCTGCCAAGAAGTTTCTACGTCAAGCAGTTTTTGGAAAACATTTATATACATACATTTTATTTTTCCCAAGCAGCCGTTTTTATCTTTAAAAAATATGTGTGTAAAGGAAAAACATGAAATACCAACATTTTATTATTGTTCTAATAATATTTTTGTAAAGTTATATATGTTAAGTATTTATAATGGCTTGTTTTAAAATGTTATGCTTCTATTTCCAATTAAAAACATATTTATTAGTGATTTTTAAATAAAACCCACAGGTTGTATTGTTATTCTCCTGTACTGTTAAACATTCACAACCGGATGCTGCTGTGTAAACTCATAATCAATGCCAATATAAACATTTAAAAGAGGAAATTGTATATGTTGAAAATACTGCACATTATTAAATAGTTTATAGATTATTAGGTGTTATAAATAATCTATTCTATGTCTATATACTGCTTCTAAGTAATAAATAAGCGAGGTGCTACCAAATATTTTTACAAAATAGGACTTAACTGTGGGCACATTTAGCTTTTGTTTTCCTCCACACAGAGCATGCCTACTGGTGAAAAACAAATAGTGATTTATGGCTGGAGGAGTGGGATGGAGAGGGTCTTTCCCAGCTAAACTGATAAAGCGTCTCATTTTAGCAGCTCCAATGGTGGGGATATTTCTTCTTTTTTTTCATTTAGTGAAGCAATCCCCTTATCATCGCCTCTCAGCATGTGGAGAGAGTGCTTATCTTCACGAGCCAGCAGAGAGAAGCCAGCTCCCCGAGGAACCATCCCCAGACAAAGACAACCCCGAGGGACATGGACTCGGAGCCTCCCTCCTCTGGACAGACACATCCAGGCCTGGCTAGCCACCATCAATGACCCACCAGCTTTTTTTTTGTGTCTTTTAAACGTCTCTGTCTCTCCAGCCTCTGCCTTCTCGCAAGCAGTGGACAAACAAAGAGACAGAGTAAATGGTTTGTTTTTGTTAATGGCACAGGGACAAAAGCAGGATGGTCAAAGGAGCCCCCGTAAGAAGGCTCGGTAAACAGCAGCCGTAATGGTGCAGTAATTGCCCCTGACTATCCTTAAAGAAGAGACTGAATGGGACAGGGGAGATATTGTGGGAATTAACAGGCTGTTTAAACCAAAGCTATCCTTTAGGTTGGGATGCTACAGCTGTAAAGGTCACATAGCTGTTATCTGTCATCACAGGCAGCAGTTAACTGTGTCACCTGTGTGTTTCCTCACACACATAAAACACGCAGCCCCAGCAGAGGCAGGATTTCCTGTGTCTTAGGTGCACATTTGTTTGCCTAACTGATTTAAGATAGGACCAATGACATATCCCTGAAGGAAATCAATATCAGCAGAAGCACCACAACGTTTTTTTATACAATAACCAACACTGTAGAGCTGCAACAAAAATAAGCTATTTTCTTTATAAATAAGGAATCTTAAGATTAGTTTTCCATGTAGCTGTATTCAGTCTCTGAAATACGGAGAATTCTTGCATTTCTCTTTTTACATATTAAACTCAATATATTTGGGTTTTGGATTTACAAATCAAGACATGTAAATACATCATCGTGGACTTTGATAAACTGGGAGGATTTATCCATTTATCTTGAATGAATAAGATCTTTATTTGCAACTCTCAACATTGCATCATGATAAAGAATATGGCACTGCATCATCTTCGTGGACAGAATTGGGTCAATATTGCCCTATAATAAAAGTCTGGCTCAAATCAACATGGTTATTATTTGGACTGCTTAAAATGGCTTCAATGTATTTTGTAAACAATATCAATTCACGGTCTGTTCATCTACTGTGTTTACAATAAGTCTGCTGGTGCTGTAGTTTTCTGTTAATTGATGGGAATTAGTCAATTTGCAAGAAATCTCCCTGCAGTTTGCAAGTGGCAATAGCAACTTTTGAGTGATTATTATTTGGAGAATAAAAACATGTTTATTTTAAAAGTTGGCTTTTTAAAGAAACCAGACCTGATTTACATTTTGGATACACAAAGCTAGTTTACGATAGTCACGCTTGGTCAGAAGTGAATCAGATAAAGGTTGTCAATGATGATTTTCTAACTGTCGTAGCTCTTCTCTAAATACTAATTCTGTATCCCAGAATTGTCTGCACTTATAAACACAGTGTGCAATAATAAATACAGCAGTAACCTCTGTTATTCAACAGACCTGACCTCATGAGACTGGCTTTATGAGCCGTCTCATTTTGTCTCTCACGGTGTGCAAATCAAAACGCTTCACTTGCAACGTTTAAATACCACATGGGGCTTCTTAGCTAGTCATTCTGCTGTTGCCTAAACATGCATAATAGATGAATCACAACCAATCAGGTACAATCTTAACCTGGCCTTGTAGGTGTGAGAGTGAACAGATTTGACACCAGCGAGTGTGTCTGCAGACTCTGCAGTGGAAGCTGGATGGAGGCAGAGAGCGCAGGCCTGCAGGTGCAGCCTCTTGGACGTGCAGCGGGGCCCATGAATGGCCGATTCAGAAAACGGCCCCCATCGGGCCTGTTCTCCAGGCTCGGGGATAATCCCAGCCCCTAATCGGATTATGTAAATTCCTACTCCACACAGAGACTTTTATGGAAGGCTGCGTCTTTGAAACAACACTTGAAGGGTGAAAAAGGAACAGTGACAATTGGTTAAACTAGACTTGTTTTTTTTATCTGAACGGAGGTTGAAAGTGGGAGGCAGAGAAGGGGGGAGAAAGGGGAGAGAGGAGTGGTAAGAGAGAGGTGAGTTAGGACGCTGTAATTTATGTGTGGCCCCTTGGAATGGCTCAACGAGATTACCATAGTCATAACAAAACACATATTGTTCAACTGTCAATCTGGATATGGTATTTTTACCTTTTGTGGCCCAATCAGGCAGAATTCAATAGCAGAGCAGGCAGTGATATCAAGGTCTTTTCCACGGTGCAGGAACGGTGGGTTGTCCATGCCTAATGTCTGAGAAATAGAAAGGAACAAGTGTCCACAGCAGTGAGCGAAGGATCAGAGAGATGAACGTCTCAGTTTCACTTCAATGGGAATGTATTTGTCACCTTTAGTGCAAACCTTCAAGGATTAAATGAGCAATGAATCATAAAAGCTGCACAAATAGTCACTTAAAAGGCTGTTTAGTGGGGGGGAGGGGGCTGACCCAGAATCCCTTCAATTATTGCACAGAAATACCTATAAAAATAATGTAAAGTGATATATGGACAATATCATCATAAAGCCACCTCCATTGGATCTAAATAATGAAAAGGGAGGGGGTGTGTTTTAACAATCACTCCTCAGTTAACACCAACCTCACACACAATGCCAGAGGCTCCACGACGGCATACGTCACACAAAAGGGTTCACCCTGCTATAAAATGTGGGATGCGAGCATGCGGCAGTCTTACCCCATCCCTCCCTCCCTCACACCCTCTCTCTTTAGCTCTTTCCCTCCCTCCTGCTCACAAGGATCTGTCATCGAGCATGAGAAGACACAACTGAGTGGACATTCACAGCGAACCACTGGACACCGGTGACCTGCGGAGGACCACTCTCAAACTGACATTACTGCACATTTCTGCACACATACAGGTGAGGTGTCTGATGTGGATTCCGTTTCTCATTCAGGCCACGTGTTTCCAATTTGGTCAAGTAAATAATTAATCAGCCAGAGTGTTATGATGATGATTTTCTATACAACACTTTGCACTGACCGGAATATCAAATGATCTGTTTATAATGATTATTTTCCTCCAAGAGCTGTTTGTTATTAAGCTTTTTAGAAAAAACTATTTGGTTAAACTCTATTTCAACCCATCTATTTCACAGTTAATATATTGCAGAGTAATTTAACACAACTGCATCTCTTTTGAATTGTTTTCTATTTACTATATTGTTGTTTATTATCTATTCATACACCAGCCATAAATGTGGGTGCCTACAGGAAATGTTGTGGACAAATATCTGTCGCGTACGCTATGTGAAAAGCCATCAGTAATGTATATACTGCTTATAAATACTTAATAATGCAGTATGGTTAAAGCATTTCCAAAATAAGCCTTTAGAATATGAAGGAATGTCCGTTTGTGAGAAAAAGATAATACATTAGAGCTGTATGTTGAAGTAAGGAGCAGAAAACAGCGACATAGATTCTGGTAAATATTCTTGAAGGATTTTGTAAATTGGTGCAATCAAAATGTATCGTTTTGTGAAAAGTACTACAGTACCTTGGACAATCTTCCATCCTTTTCCTTTCCGTCAGTCACTTAAGAACTAAGATTGTTTACATTTACTGTGATTCTGCTCATTACTCTTATTATTATTCTTTATGTAAAACAAATTGAAAAGTGCCCTTTATAATTTCCCAAAGGTGACATCTTTAAATGTCTGATCAAATTATTTTACTATCATTAATCACAAAGAGAAGCCTAACATATTCACATTAAAGAAGCTGGAATTTGGGCATGTTTGGGAATTTGTTTGCTTTAAAAAAAATAGACTAAAACAATTTCTTAAATTATGAAAATAGTCTGATTTATTTTCTATCAATCGACTAATCAATAATTTGATTAATCGTTGCAGCTCAACTCAGCACCATGACCAGGAAGGTGTTCACCAACACGAGGGAGCGCTGGCGGCAGCACAACGTCAACACCGCCTTCACGGAGCTCCGCAAGCTCATCCCCACCCATCCTCCGGAGAAGAAGCTGAGCAAGAACGAGATCCTGCGCCTGGCCATGCGCTACATCACCTTCCTGGTGCAGCTGCTGGAGAGCCAGACCGGTCAGCCGGCCAGCCACTCCCCCACCGCTCTGCTCACCTTCCTCAGAGGAAGCATGGAGCAGCTGAACTCCCCTCCTCACCCCTGGGCCATGACCAGCGACACAGAGGTCCCGTCACCTGACTCCAGCTGCGACAGCTCCGAGGCCTGGTAGAAAACACAAAAAAAGGAACTCTCGAGTGGACCTTCTGACCCTTTACCTGGGGTTTTGACAAACTGCTCTTGTTTTTTCTCAAGACTCTTTTTGTCTCTGCATTTGTCACCCGTGCGTGTTTCAATGCAGAAGACCCAATATTGTGTGATATATGTGGGCTCCAAACATGGCTGAAAATGTTGGTACAGCCTCCACGCTGATCAGTGTTCAAATATGATTTGCGGGTGAAAATGAATTTGTATTCTGCATGGATGTGTAAAAGCCTGGATGTACAATATTCCCTTCATGTCTTCATGTTAATGCCCGCCTGGAACTAAATTAGTTTTGCAATGACAGGGTGTTTTGCCGATGAGGAAAATGGAGGGGATTAAGGAATTTCTCATTTCAAGCAATAGATTCAGCACTTGAATAGATAATGGCTCAGCCAATTCTCCAGACTGCAATCGTCTCAAAATAGCCAAGGGCACTTTTTTTCTCCTTTTTTCTACGACATGCTGTTTTTTGAAGACTAAATCTGACCTTTATTTTTGTTTGTAAAGGTTATGTGACTTCAGAAGAATCAGTTATTTGAAAGACTTTTGCTGTTTCTCACACATACAGTATTACACAACAGTTATCAGTGTTTCTTGAAGACCAATTTGTTTTCTTAGGATTGGGTTTAGAAATTTCAAAAATGACAATCCGCTTTCGATGAATTACATCTTTTACAACGCATATGTCTTCTAATTTAAATGTGTTTATTTGAGCTTTTGTAAAATACGCATGTCATATAGCCAAAGATTATGAATTGATTGTCTACTGTGAAGAGTGCTATTTATCTTCTTATACCTCCTTTTTAAGTTATTTTGGTGTGCTTGTTAATATATACAGTATCGTATTTATTTGAACTATTTATTTAATAAATGATTTGTTAAAAAAAACACTTTGTCTAATTAAAGAGGTCACTAATTGTTTGTAATTCTTACAGCAGGAAACTTCAAGATGTACGAAAGATTACATTTTTGGGTAGAGTTTAAACTACTTACTGAATCTGACACTTTTTAACTGTGGTGTTATATACAATTTGAAATGCAATTATTTGTATATGTTATTGCCCAAAACTTCCATTATACATACTAAAACAGCTTATTTGTGAGTGTTGAAGGACACAATTGTCCCACAATTTTGGGTAAAAAGCGTTTACCCAAAACAAGTGACAGGTGAAATAGGGTAGTGACTGGAAAGAACAATTGTGGTAAAACAAGACCAGAAACACCTAAAATAAATAAAATAAAGTAGCAATTAAATCCTTGGATAAACAACCTCAGTAACAGTTTGATTGATGTGCATCAACAGCAACATTGTGTCATTTCCTGTTTGTATAGACTTGGATGAAATGTAGATTGCATAGTAACAGCAAAGATAATGCACTGAGACAATACATTTACAATGAGTACGCAGTGTGGAATTGTTACATCATGTTGGTCTCCAATGAAATAATTTCCCTGTGTAAAACACAGCTGATGTGAAGTTAAGAGCGGAGCTACCGCCTCTTTGTTCATGCTCACTATCCCAGAAACATTTGTCCGCAGGTCGTGTAATGAACGTGTGGACACAGAGCTGACCTTTGCTCTCTGTCCACTGACCAGAGGTCTGTGAGAGGAGCGCTGAAAGTGACAGCTTAACTTGTGACCCCGGGAGTCAGAGGTCACTCTGGAGTCAAACACTGTCCAGTTGACCAATGTGCAGATGTAGTTCGCTTCAGGAAAACGTAGAAGAAGCACTGTAGGCAGAACTTCGAGTGTAACTTGTTTTAGAAAAAGATAACTGACGGAAGCCACCAGTTTTTTTATGTTATATGGGAATCATCCACAAAAGGTTACAAATCCAATGCATCAATATACAAAATGTTACTGTGCATTTTGATAAATGTTCCTCTAGAAAAAAACATCAAACTTTAAAAAATAAATAAAAGCTAAAAATCAATCAAAGTTCAAATTACGCAACCAAGTGCTGATTGTTTTTCATTTTTGATTTAACCATTTTTTTCTAATTAATTGTTGAATTGGTAAGTCTGTAGAATGTCAGACAAAAGTGAGAAAAACACATCATAATTTGCCATCGTTTTTTCGATGTATATTAATTTCAAAAAGGGAGAAAAACACACATGGGTAAAGCCCTATGGTAAAACCGCTACCAGCAAACATTTGGCATGTTTTTTTATTTGATAATTAATTATCAAAACAGTTGTTGATTAATGTTTTGTCAGTCCAGAACATGACGAACGCACTGTAATGTAAAGTATTTTAGCTTTAGTTGGAATATCAGCAGGTTCTTTTGCACCCGTCTTCTTGTTTGTTTTCTAGACCTGAGGTCAAACATCGACATGCCTAATCGTCTATTGTGCCTGTGGAAAATGTGCCACATTTTAAGCCAAAAGGGTGCAACTTTCTGAGCTGAAGAGTAAACACCGAGTTGGTTTGGAGCCCTTTCACTGCCGCTGTTAAACTCTGGCTAATGGTGTGTAAACGGAGAAGAGGGCAGCTGGATACACTGACTGGAGGCCTGTGGGAACTGACAGGTGACTCTTTGTAATGCTGCAAACACACTAAATAAATCATATTGGGAGAGTGAAAACAACTGTACAGCATCGGTGTGCCTCTCCCCCAGCATCAATTTGGGAGGTATTTACCTCTTGTGCAATTTCACAGTAAATCGAGCAATTTCATGGTGAACTGAAATAAAACTACTCTGGTTATTAATAACTGAACTACCAGGCAATATGAGATACTATATTTTTAAAACCTGAATCCTTTGTATGTTGAAGGTTTTGTTGCATTTTAGACTTATGTTTAAATATTCAGTCATGTTTAGAAACGGGATAGCATGTGACAGATTTTACACACATCCATGCTGTCAGGCAGTGTAATGCATTTTGCTGATACACCTTATTTACAGAAATCACCCAATCACAATATGAGAATTACCCTGACCTCAACTTTTGCAGGATTATGAAACCCTGCATTGAAAATAATAACAAATCTGTACGCGTCTCTTTCCCTCTACCAAGTATATTTGCCTGATTGACTATTCTCTCCCAAGTATGTGGGTAATCGTCTATTGAGAGCACATTTCCTTATCAGCGTCTAGCACACTGTCTGAATCTGTTATCACAATGGACCAGATCAGTGCAGGCAGCCCCTCGCTCTCCCGGCTGAGGCGCCCATGAAAAAGAATTTCTGGAGTTGGGTGCCAACCGATAGGCCCTGAGCTCTTTATCCCTTTAAAGCCAATTCACACTCTGCATGTTTAAATATCTCAGCTCAACCCCTGCCCTCCCACTCCCGTCATGCACTCAAACCCCCTCCTTCTTCCCTTTTCCTCCCACTCTATCTCTCCCCCTCCATGGCTGCAAGACCAAGCGTGCACTGCCGCCACGGCCGACCAGCAACCCGGGTGGCTGGGTGGGATGCAGGTGCAGGCGGGTTGGAGGGTGAGAGAGGAGGGGAGTTATCCATTGTTGGGCTGGACAGCACCCTCTCTCCTCTGGAGCACCCTCTGATGGGGGAGCCCACTGACAATCACGCATCCTAATCTGATTATGCAAATATCTACTTCAAAAAGCAATGCGCTGTAACCCTTACCCTGTGGTGGAAAGACAGAGCAGGGAAGGAAGGAAGCAGCAGGAATGTAGAGAGGGAATCATAGCATTTTACGCTTGTATTTCATTTTTCTCTGGAATTTTACATTTAGACTCAATGATACCCTGAACAAGCTGTTATACCGACCATCACTTTCTCTCACACATCCTCTATGCCACCAGGGGAGGTCTGAGGACGATTCACTTACACACTCTGAATGGCACTGACTCCCTCAACAGGGCATTGAATTCAATATTCAAATGCTTATTGTTTTTCCAGACGCTCCTGAATCGAGCGTCAAAAGGAATCTACAATGTTAATGAGGGGGCCTGAGTACCCAGAGTTTAGATTTAAACACCCAAAGAGTCGCTGGTGACATTTCCCAAGAACAGCATAGACTCAACGCCACTGATTCCTAAAGGCATGGTCGACCACCCCCGCCTCCGGAATATTAACACCGACCTGACCCCTGAGCTGAAATCAGCTGCCTCTTCCTACAGCTAAATGCATTTCGAAAACACGCTGTCAATTGTGTGAGGCTGTACTTATGCACAGCAATTAATATAACTAAATGCTACACCACCATGTTAAAGGCCCCATGACATGCTTTTCTGGTTATTACTCGTCCCCCGTTTTTTCTGCATGTAAACGATCTGCAAAGTCACAAACCCTCAAAGTACACCCTGTAGCGAGTAAAACTCCAACACAGAAAAGACCCGTCTGTGCTGCCCCAGAACGCCTCTGTGGCAGCGGGGTGTGGTTTGGGCGCTGGCTGCTGGAGTGAAGGGAGTGGCTCGGCCGGAGGCCAGACAGCTGATCGGAATCAGGTAATCAGTGCAGGAAGAAAAGCATGTCGTAACCTGGTTCTGTTCTGTTATGCAGTAGGCGGGATCCTGGAAGGTCGCCAAAGGACCTGTGAAGTTTCCCACCCGGGCAACGTTTGAGACCCGCGCATGTTATTGTTTGGAGTTAATAAACGCCTGTGTTTCACCAACCTGCTCTTTCCGTCCTGATTTGAACCCTGTGTGAGCGGAGAGGCTCACAGTGGCACCTGAACAGGGACCTGATGTCGGAAGGAGAAACCCCGCTGGGTCAGGCCCTCCAACGTCTCGCTCACATGCAGGAAACCACCACAGCATTACAGCGACAGCAGAGCGAGGCTCTGCTCGGGATCGCCTCGAGCCAATCGCTCCTGGCGAGACGTCACCGAGTCCGTCCGCGAGCCTCAGGGAACCGGTCTTACGAGTAAGTGAACTCTTTTTAGGAGGAGCTGTACCGAGGAGATGCCTACTATTAAATGCATTAACCTAAAATTTTACATGTGAATTAAAATACGGAACATGATTGAAAATAAGGATGGTGGAAAATATTTTTTTTTTTTCCAGGTTTTTTTGGGAAAAACAGACATAGTAAGACCCACGGGTCCACTTCACCCTTGAATTTGGGGGGGCATGGCCCTGGAGAGGAACGCGGGTTCTTTGCGACCTTCCTCTCCGTAACAGTGTGATCATGCAGCGTGTGTTTCTGGAAACCTGCCAGAAATGAATGAGTGATCATTTCTAACTCGGTAAATGGCAACCATAAAACATAAAGTAAATCTCGGTCTATTTCTTCGTACATTCAAAGTTATTAGGAACCAATGTTTTTGATTTCACGTTAATTTCATCGGTTTAAGTAATAAAC